ATAGTACATCATCTGCTTGCTCCACAGCCTAAGTGCCTCAGAGCAGCCACTCAGGTAATTTATTTGGCACCCAACAGTGCAATAGTTAATTGCAGTGCTTGTGGAATTGCGTGTGGGCTCTGCTATAGCCTCCTGAAATGCAGTCACCCAATACTGCTCCTGATTCTCTGGTTCAGAGCTTGGACACTGGATCAGCTCCTGCCCTCCTCGGCAGCCACCCAGGCATTAAAAAGGAGGGAAAAAAAAAAAAAAAAANAACCAGAAAAGAAAAAGGTTTCATTCTGCAAGAAATTTTATCCCTTGAAGAAGAAGCAGAAATAAGAATGGGCTCAGAAAATGCAGCTGTGCTCTTTAAGAACAGGCTGGCCGTTGGTGGCTCCCTGTGCCGCTCTCCTCTTTGCCCTCCTGGAATTGCCTTGAAATAACTTAAATGAAGTTGAGCCACTCGGAGGCTGTCAGGTTTGCTGGACCTCCTTGGCAATCAATTTAACCTCCTGGAATAATTTTTTTCCTGCCGCCTGAAGCTGCTGAGTCAGTGATGGGTGTCTGGGGGCTGCCTGCAGAGCTGGTCCTGGTCCCTCTTCCCCAGGGAGCCACCCAGGAACATGCCTGTGGGCAGATAAGGTGCTGCTCCCCTGATTTGCTATTTTTGGAAAGGACACTTATGGATGGTGTGTTTTACAATGACCTGTGTGTGGATGTGTTTTCATCAGCATGGTGTGGGACCCTTTAGAGGACAGCTGTGGCTGTGCACACCAAGTGTAAACTGCCCCGGCCTTCCTGCTCCACTTCAGGGGCAGGGAAAGTCCTTTGGGATGCTTCAGCATCCCTGCCCCTTGGGTGGAGCAGGCATTTAACCTCCCATTGGCTCTGAAGGAGGGAATCATGCTGTGCTGCCCCACTTCTGTCCCGTTTTGGGGCTCACCTGTGTTTAGAAGAACCCTTGTAGCTGCAGGTGGCCTTGGCTGACATTGGCAGGGTGTGTCCATGTGTGTGTCCCTCCTGCCCCTCGGAGCTTCACTGCACTTCACTGCAGCAGCTTTCTCCCTACAGCTGATAACTGCTCACCTCAGAAATAAATACTCAGAGAGTGGAGGGTACAGAGAATTGTTCACAGAAGAAGAGAACTAAAAACTTTGTTTCTCCTACAGAGCCTCTCCATCGGCCGGGGGGATCTGCCCAAGCTGCTCCGTGAATGTTGTGCTCAGTAATTACTGACTGCATAAACATTTCTCTTTCATTTAATTTTGCCTGATGATAATTAGGTGTGAGAGCCTTGTTTAGCAGGCTCTCACTGCTTCCTGCTCCCAGTTGTTTTCCAACCTGGAACAGAGGATGGAACCCGCCCCACAACGATGTTACCTGGTAAGATGCCATCCAGCACGAACTCTACACCCTGGGAAAAGCAACCCAGCCTGAAAAATCCTCTCGATGAATCCTGGGAGACAGCTGCAGTGTAAGGATGCCTTCCAGAGCTGTCACCAGAAAAGTGTTCAAAAGAAGAGGAATAAGAAACACATTTGCCAAGTTCATAAAACTGTGACCTTGAGACAAAGGTCACCAAAGCATCACGGGCTGTCGGTGGGTCGGGGCACGAGGGGACAACCACGGCGACCTGGAAAGGGACCTTTGATGACATCAGACATTTCAAGGAGAGATTTACTGATAACAGGGGGTTAGAGCACTCAGAGAGTGTTTGCAATGCTTGGATCCTCTTTGCTTTCCTGAAGGCAGTGAAGCAGTGAAGTTAAAGGTGTTCTGCAGCCGTGTCGGTGCCTCAGCCCTGCAGGGACTTGGGGCTGCCTCTCCATACATCCTGCACCCACAGAATGTACAGGCTGCCTTGTGCTCTCCTTCTCCATCAAATCCCTCTGTCTGCATGCAGGAAAATAACTCCAGGGACTTTGATAAGATTGCTCCTGTGAAGGAGACAGGTGAGAAGGAACCTCCCTCTTGCAAAGCCAGCCTTTTCATCCTCTTTTTTGTGTAGGTGCTCTGGTGCCTACAATGCTGCTGGAAGTCTATGGGCCAATGCCAACACACGTGTAAAGTTTCATTGTCACCAGAGCAGAGGTGTGTGGATGGAGAATATTTTCTTCACACATTTAACATTCAGGTTTCTTTTATTCCTTTTTTTCCCCCCACTCTTCGTGCGATGCCAGCAGCTTGGAGAACTGCTGCCTGCTGCCTTAGGTGTGCATTAGCTTCCATTTGATTGCTGTACAGCAACTCTTCTTATCTTTGAAAATTAACCATTTCTTAAGCAGAGAGGAGGTGTCTCACAGCGTGAGCGTAATGCACCAAGCATTGCACCAAAGACTGCAGAGTGCACCACTCTTTCAGTCAATGCTGAGGCTTTGACACCTAAAAAAAAAGTATATTCCAATTCCAGCCCTGTCAGATGTACAGAGCAATTATGCAAAACTGCCTTTAAGATGATATTTTTCTTAGGACTTTTTAATTTTTTTTTTTTTTTTTGTGACAAGCAGTATTTCACAAAAATCCTCACCTTTTCTTGCTTATATAATTCAGTGCCACTTACAGTAAATTATATTTGTGCAGTTTCATTATCACACCTATGTAAATTCTTCCAATAAAGTATCCTCAGACTTTAAGATGCAAAACAATTTTGTTAAGATAGGGTATAAGATAAAACAAAGGAAAATAAGCAAGGTGGTTCCTTTTTCTGCATTGACTGCATGGATGTTAATGAGAGTCATCTCCATGTACAGGTCTAGCATCTGGTTGCTATATTTATTTTAATTGTGTGGTTGTTTTGTTGTTTTGTTTTTTTTTTTCAGGGAGAAATCCAAATCCCATATGTGCTGTCTTATGACATAAACCCCCGAAAAATCAGAATAAATCTATAGATGTAACATCCATGTGCTTTTTAATTGCTCTCTTCTCACTAACTAAATACTGTGGGATGTTTCAGGGTGAGATATGAACTTCCCAGCTTCATCTCTTTTCCACTCCTGTGTTGTCCTAGCTGCCTGGTGTTGACTCCTTGTAGGTCATTTCCAGCAACATAAGCAAGACAAGCAAACAGCAAAATTGCAAGATGCAAATGCCCTTCGTTTTTGGCTCTGAGTCAAAAAATAATAAGTTGACAATAACCCTGCCAGAATATGCAGCAAGGGTGACTGCATATTTCTTCCTGTTAGTGTGACAGTACAAGGGAGCTGGTCACAAGGAAGATATGAGCTTGTGTTCCCCTGGTCGCTGCAGCATGTGCCTTGTCTCAGGTTTTAAAGGTTTTTCTGGGTAAAGCATAAAGAATTCCACTCAACCAGCAGCTCATTTCCACTTCTTCAGCAGAAAATGCATGGGGGGGAAAAAAGAAGAGGAAAAAAAGCAGGTGATTAAAGTTATGTTAAAATAATACTAAATGAAGCACAGCTTGTTTTATAAAAGCTGCTGTGGGTGTAGGGAAGAAATGTTTTTCTGGGTAATGCTTGTGGTGGAGACGGGAGGACAGGTGGGGACACACAGGGATGGAGCTGAGAGCCTGAGCCTGCACTGCAAGGAGCTGGGATGGAGCTCTGGAAGGAGCCTGAACCTGCACTGAGCTCTGAAAGGAGCCTGAACCTGCACTGCCAATCCCCAGCCCTGCAGTGAGCCCTGAGATACCTCCCTGTCACCTCGTGGGCTCCCTAACCACATGGAGGGGAGTCCTCTGTTTGAAAAAAAATTAAGAATTTGCATCAGCATCTTTGGAGTCAAAGGGTTTAAGGTGTCTCCTCTGGTTTCCTCCCTTCCATCCAGGGAGCCTCAGCTTCCCAGCCCTGCCAGTGCCTTGGCACAGTTATCCACAGAACCTGTGTGACCCTCAGCAGTGCTGATGGGGACACTCTCATGCTATGAATAAATTAAACAATTGCATGAACTCCTGATCCCTTTGGAGGTCAAGATTTGGAGCTCAGCAACTCTCTCAAGACCTTGAGTTGAAAGCATCAGGGTGCTGCTCTGATACTGCATGCAAGAGGAAGAAGCAGTGAAGTCTGGCCATGGAGGGATGCTCAGTTTCCAGAATTCCTTTTTCTCCCAGCTAAGCCTCTCTCTGTTTAGCTGAGGCTCTTCATCTCCAGCCAGGAGGAGACAGTGGAGGAGAATCCTGCAGTGAGCAGCACTTTGGGAGTTTGTGATAGATGCTGTCTACCTCATTACTGAACAATGAAACTTTATTGTTCCCTGTCTTATATTGATTTTTATGTCTCCAAAGCATGCTGGTGAACTCTGAAATGAGCATTTGTCAGAGGAGGGCTGCTGTTGCTGATCTGCATCTTTGAAGAGAATGTCCATGGATCAAATTCTGGATCACTTTCTGCTGCTGTGTCTGCAGGATAGGAGGGCTTCCCCTGGGCTGGGCGTGCTGAGGGTTTGTCCTTCCAGTGCACCTGGCCTGTGAGAAGGCTGGATACCTACAGATCCAGTGCACCAGAACCTCTCTGCTGGGAAAAGGCAGCATTTTGGCCAACATCCATGCAACTCAGCACAGACCTTCCCAAATCAGCTTGGCTTGGAGTGTGAGACTCCATCAGTGGGGATTCACTGCGAGCAGAAGTGCTGAGCCTGGCAGCTGCTTCCAAGGGCTGAGCACTGGAGGGGACCCCACATCTCCATGACACTCTTTGGTGTGCTGCCACCCCGCCTGCAATGCCAGAGTAAATATTTGCATTATTTGTTTCTGGTTTGTATACAGCCCTCAAGTGAGGAAGCATTTGCCCTGCAGTCCCTACACATATCTCTGTGAACTTCACAAGTTGTTAATATTTTATGCATAATTCATAAAATTATACTACATTTTCGGGGAGTAATTAGCTGACTCTGTACCTCTAATGAACTGCAGGTTCAGCTATGACAAATACATCGGGCGACTCCGAGGGATAGTAACACGCAGGCGCCTTTAAGCAAAGTTCAAGCAGCTCCTAAATTAACCAGAGTGAATCCCCAAAAGATGCAGTATTTATGCACTGAAGAAGGAAGGGAGGGCTCTCATCTCACCACTCTCATCAGCCATCACAGCCCAGGAAGCAAGAGAGAGAAAATAAGAGTTATTTACCTTTTGCTAATTGGGAGCTGGGCAGCTCAGGTGAGACTTTCCTCCCTTTCCTTTATTTGGTTGATTGCATGGAGTTGTCATGGAAGTGATCCCCAGTGTGGAAATGGATGTAATTGGAACTAAGATTTTTCAGGCTTAAATTGCAAATTTTTCTTAAAATTCTGCTCTCAGTTGGAGGAAAATGAAATCCATTTGAGCCATTCTGGTTCTTAAAATAGAAACTGAGCAATTTAATCAAAATTCTTATTTCCAGAGCATCAGCTCTGCTTCTGTGGGTGCAGGGCTGCCTTTTCCCAGGTCTCAACCCCAGCCCCTTTAGAGCTGCCCACTGAGACAAAGCTAGCTCTGCTTTGGCAGTGCCATACACCCAAAAAGTGGAAAATTCGGGTGCTGGGTGAGCAATGGCATTTATAACACAGGACACAACCTTTTCCTCTCACCGCTCAATTTCGGGCTGAATAACTGGAGCAGCAGCAGCACCCAGCCACTCCCTGCTCCCAGGCTGGGAGCCCTGCTCCTCTGGCATCCCCTCGTGGCATCAAACACAGCACAGTGACCCCAAAGCAGGGAGCAACTCCTGCTGCCCTGTCCAGCCTGGCTGCTCCATCTGAGCCAGTGTGGGAGTCCAGAGCATCCCTCTGGCTGCCCTGGGACCCTGGCAGGGGTCAGGAACCCCCCTGGACAGAGCCTCCAGAGACACTGTCTGTGATCTCTGTCCATGGAAAAGAGTTTTCAATCTTACAGGATGAATTACAAGCTCTGAGTGTTTGATATAAGTAATAATTATGTGTGGCACGGGTGCAGAAGTAAAATTTTAGGATTCTAGATGAGGGGTCCAAGGGGCACAAGATGGAGGAAATTGGGTGTGCCTTGTCCTTTTTCTCCTTCTTCATGCCCTCCATGTCTCACTGTGGTGTTGGCATTTTTCTGTTGGTTCAGGCTGGGGACACACTGTCCAACGTAGGTGACAGATATTGGCACGTTCTTGTAAATGCAGCCCAGGGAGTTTCTGGTATTTAATGTTTGTCACATCCCACTGAGGGCAGAGCCCCACACGCTGCCCTGCAGGACAGAGCTGGGCAGGGCAGCAGAACATGTGAGAGATCAACAGAATAAACAACCTGGAAACCAGCACAGACCAATTATGGCTTCTTCTTTGGCAGGGGGCAGAAATACAGAGACTTTCTACAATCTGGAATCATCAATACCAAAGATTCTGACAAGCCAGCAGCAGTGCCGTCACACGGGATGCCAGCAGCATCTCTGGGGCACACACACTTCTCCTGCCAGCTCCCAGCTGCTCCTGCTCATGGGTGAGGGCAGAAGGAAGCTGCTCACCGAGGGTGACCTCAGAAACCTGGAGATCTAATACACTGCTACCAGTAGTCTCAAATATTAAATTTTCCCTCCAGAACGTGCTCCCTAAATGGGAGAGCCCATCCTGCCACAGACAGTCCCACTGCTGGAACACACGGATCCACTGCCAGGAATTGGCTTTAAGTGCAGGGCTGCAAACTGATAAATGTATTAACTTCAGGTGCCTCTCTGACATTTAAAAAAAGAATTAAATTTCAGCTCTGTCATAGGTACAAAGGGAGCCACAGAGAAGAGCTGCACATGTCAGGGGGTGAGCACATCAAGGCAGATGATGGTGACACCTGTCTGGTTGAGTTTAGGCTGACAAAATTCTGCACAGAGACCTCTGTGGAGGGAAGAGGATGCTCAGGGGAAGCAGAGATGCGAGGCCCTCCTCAGAAGCAGACCTCACTTTTTCAAATTAGATTATAACTTAATTATGGATGCAAGGCTTTTCATTCCTGACAAGTTTTCCATAATCTTAACTTGATCTCGTGTCAGAAGGGTCCCATCCTCTGATAACCAAGCCCAGCTAAGAGTTTAACTAGAATAATAGCTGATTAAAAGGGGTTAATAGATACACCTCAAACAGAAGTAAATTAACGGGAGACGCTGTCTCTCGGCTAATGGGATCAGAACAGTATTTGTTTAGTTTATGAATGATTAATCTCCCTCTCTTGGCATTCCTCAGATGCTAATTGCACTTAGGGAGTCCGTGTTTGTTTTTACAAGAGCTGGAGGTGGCAGAGGGAAGGCGATGCTGGCCCAAAGGGGAGTTCACTCACCCGGGTAATGGGCTCCTGGCACAGCCACGGGGAATACCGGGAAAGCCACACTGCAGCTGGGGCTGCTGCTAAAGTCGAATTAAAGCCTGTAGTGAAGTCACCTTTTTGGCGTTTTGTGAGAAAACCTGTGGAGTTCACAAAGGTGCAGGGGCTCCTCTCACCCTCCCTCCTGGGGAATCCCCACCACAAAAAACGCTCGGATTTTTCCCTGTGGAAATCCTCCGAAGGGATCACAGCAAAGCTCAAGAAAGGCCGAAGGAGGGAAGCCACTTCTCATGGCAACTCCTGCGTTTGACAGTTCAAAGCAGGAGAGCAGCAGCATTTGTCAGGAGCGCTGGGAGGGAAGCAGTAATTGCCTGGAAGCAGCCACAGATGCAGGGCTCACTCCAGCTGCTGCTGCATTGCTAAGAGGAAACCAAATCATTTTCCTCTCTACACACTTGTCAGCATTTTAATCCTCCATTATCTTTGTACCCAACAACACAAATGTGCTACCTCAGCCGTACTGTGAATTTACTAGCAAACAAACCATTTCAAATAAAAAAAGAAAAAAAAAAAGAAAAAAAAAAGAAAAGGGTTTTCATGCCAGGCTTAGCAACATGAAGTGTGTGGAAGTTCTCCCTGCTCATTGCAGGGGGATTGGACTCTGCGACCTCTAAAGGACCTCTCCCACCCAAAACATTTTATGGTTTTATGATTTTCTAAATAAAGCCCTTCCAAGTGGGGGCCCTGATTCAGCAAGGTACCAAGACATGTTCCACCAAAGTCAGCTGGCAGCAATCTGCACAAACCTTTAGCATGTTTGTGAAGGACTTAGTGAATTTGGAGGCAGGAGGAGCAGTTTTGAGAGGCAGGTGCCCACCCTGAGCACAGGATGCTTGCAGTGACTGGCCAAATTATCTTTGGTGCTCTGGCAGTTGTTTGCAAGGATCACAATCTGGCCTGACCAAATTACTGAGTTGTGATATAGTCCAGTTCTTTGTTCAGTTTAGTTTTCAATGTCCCAGATGATGGTGGGGTGTGACTTTTTGGATGATTAGGGCTCACAGAGGAGAAAATATGTGTAGAGGAGAGTAAAATAGGGTTGTTCAGTCTGTGTTCATGGTCTTCCAGCCTTTACCAAGGGACGGATGTTTGAAAGATCTGAGGAGCATTGGGAAGACCAAGAGAACAGCTCTGCACTAGACCTGGTTTTAAATTTGGGATGAATTGAAATTAAGTGAGAGGAATCTAATTTAAATCTTGAAGTTCTGCTCTTACCAAAATGGCATGCTAAGAAATGGGATGCTCTTTTACTATTCTCCATAAATAATGTTACTTTGTGCTGTTCCCAGGTATTTCATTCATCACCGGATCGTATAGAAAGCCTGAGCTGAATAAAACCTTCTGAAAGAAGATGAGGAGACACACTCTGCCTTGTAGATTATTTTACAGCTGCTGAAGCCATTTGTTTCCTCTGCCTGTTTTCCACAAAATTGGAAAATTAACCATGTACCAGGAGGTGTGACTTCCACTTTGTGCCAAATAGCATGGAAATAAATTCATTATTAAGGGAGACACCTAAGACTATTTGGCTTAAGAATAAATTGCTGGATGATTTGCTGGAGGAGCTCCAGCAAGGCAGATTTGGGCTGAGGTCTGAGAGGGGCTCAGAGCAGGTACAAATCTGTGAGAGCCTTTTTAAAGCTGGGATGGAGGATTCAGGTTTTGCCCGTTGCTGGAATATTGAAGCATCAGAGCATTCATGAAACTCCCCCACACATCCCCTTCCTGAGCCACTCAATCCCCCAGGCTACATGTGTTTGTTATCCAAACCCTACTCCAGCTGAGGTCTCCTGAGAGCCTCTGGCAAAACTGCTGCCCACAGTGTTTGTAAACCCAACGAGATGTTTGTGGGCACGTGGAGGATGTCCAGATGTGGCATCCAGCCAGCTCATCCCTGCAGCCTCCCCTCCACAGGGATCCCTGCCTGCCTCTGCCCTGCCGAGGGAAGGGGACCTGGTGCAGGAGGTATAAGCAGGTATGGGCAGAGATGTGGAGTGGTTGTGCAAACAGGACAGAGGCTGTGCTAAACTCTTCTTCAAAACCTATGAAACTCACCCAAAGGCAGTGTTGGAGGGGTGGGTGAGATGTGGTGACAGCTCTGTGTGCCTGGGGTGCCCGTGGGTGGAGGCCAGGGGGAGGCTTTGGGCAAGGGGTGTTTCTTGGAGGGGACTGCTCGACACGTGGTGCCCTCCAGCCCTTCTCTCCCCTGCTGAAGAGCCAGGTCTGCAGCCAAAACAGCTTTTGTACAGCCCAGGGCAGCCTCCCAGGCAGCAGTGTGGAAATACTCTGGCTTGTGCAGACGCTTCCAGCTGCAGGTAGGTGCCCAGCGGGATTTGCAGAGGTGCCGAGGCATGTAAAGCACCTCATTCCCAGTGCAAATGCCACCGGGTGTCTGCCTGCATCATTAGGCACCTAATGGCCTCGGAAAGCTGGCTCCTGGGAGCTGGGATGCTCCTGCCAGCCTCACCCTGGAGCTGGGCAGTGCTGAGCTGGCTGCTCTGCAGCACAGCTCCCATGGGAGACACAGCCCCTGGCCCCATCCCAACCCCCCGGGTCCTGCCAGCTTCTCCCTGCCTCGGTTTCCTCATGCAACAGCTGAATTATTCACATGCATTGTGAAACACTTTGTGATCTGCCACAGATGAGCCACGCTGGGAGAGTGAGGTGGTACCAAAAGGCTGATTATTGCTAAAAAAATTATTAAAAACCTTTTTACCTGCAAATCTAGCATGGTACTGACTCCAGAGAAGTGGGAGCAGGATTAAAACACATCTCTGTCTGTATTTCTACCTTGTCCTTGCACAGAGGGGCTATAAGGTGGGGAAGTTTTCTCTTCTTCTGCTGTGACAAATGGTCTGGCCAGGTAACAAATTCCAGGCTGGAATATGCCTCCTCAGCAGCCTAAAGTGTGATTGCAGTGGGCATTGCATTAATTCCTGAAATGTCTTTTTTAAATTGGTTTTACAGTTCACTGGGAGTGTGAGGCTGCAGCCTCTCTAGCCAGAGCTGCCTGCACACGACTGGGGGAAACAATACAAAAAACTGATCCCTGCTGCTGACCCACGTGGCAGCACAGAGCAGGGACCAAGCCAGGTGTGAATTAATAAATACATTTATTTGTCAGCAGAGAGCACACTGTATGCAAACATGACAAAATACACAAGTGCACGCAGCATGGCTGAAAAGGACTCCTGCTAAATTCTTTGCTCTGGATTCGTGAATTCCACGTGTGTGCAATGCTGCAAGGTGGGACTTGGTTCCCAAAAGTGCCAGGCAGAAAGCACGGCCAGGGCAGAAGCAGCAGTCAGGGGATGGGGAGGTGCTGTGCCCAGCTCCTGCTCTCAGACCAGCTCAGGGGTTCAGTGGGATCTGGGAGCTGCAGGGATTGTACAGAGCCCCAGGACCCGAAGCAAAGCCATACAAAATCCTTCTCTTTTGGAGGAGCTGAGCATCAGCCCTGAACAACCTAATCAAAGAAACGACCGCAACAGCCCAAACTCTGTGATACACTTGAGCACAAACCCTGAGACTCTCGTTAATTCCTCTCTTGTCTGCAGGAAAGGCTCTTGCCCTGCTGAGCAGGCACTTGCTCACTCTGGGGAAGTGTTACTGCAGGTTTGTGCCACCAGCATCTGCTGGAAATGCCCACACAAGAGCCAGTCCCTGCCACGTCCTGCTGTTGAGCTCAGCCAGGTTAAAGTGTGGTCACACATCAAAAGTGCCCTCAGAACCAACAGCTTCCTACAGATCTGCATGTTCATCCTCAGATCTGATGAATTTAGGGATAAAATATATATTTTATTACCTTTTGCCCCTGTAAGCAGGGCATAACCACCCAGCAGTGATTTCAGGGCAGGAGCTGCTTCCCTTCCCATCACTCTGTCCCGCTGATGGGAAGAGTTATGGCTCTTCAACCCCAGAGTCTCAGGTGACTTTACTGAGCTTCTAGCAAGGAAACAACCAAGCAAAAAAA